TGGAATTTTGCATTTATTGTAAATCAACTGTACAGCTCTACAGTGTTATCTATGAGGGCACAATCCATGGAAATTTTAGACCATAATTTGGGGTTATGTTAATCCAGATTAAAACATATTGCAAGGTGTTGTCATCTGTCATGTCATGGTATTATCACAGCATAGTTCAAGTGCTTGTTCTGAAGTGTCGTTTCAAGGGACATCACCATCTCCAAGATTACATTTTTGTCATTTGGCATGCAATTTTAAATTTTCCAAAAAATGTGCATGCATATGGCTGTCCAAGCGCATGTATAACTCAAGTTAGTTTCTTTCATTTAAGGAACATTTCTAAATTGCAAGCTATAATCTTCTCTGAACTAGAGAAAATTGTTCATGTGTTTGTGTCATTGCGCCTACATTATTCTAATGCCTTATTTACTGGCTTAGATCAATCATTTCTGTCACGCCTCCAATCAATACAAAACGCTGCAGCCAGACTCCTAATGCACTCTGGCAAGTGAGCTTACATCACCCTTGTTTTATCCTCTTTACATTGGCTCCCAGTTGATTTTAGAATTTGTTTTAAAATTCTCACACTTCCCTACAGAGCACTAAATGGAAAAGCTCCAGACTACATATCTCAAAATCTATTATTTGTCCCTCATACAAGACTGAAGAATAGGGGGGGCAGAGTCTTTCAGTCTGCGGCACCAAGGCTCTGGAACAGTTTATCTCTGTGAAATCTTTTTTTGAAAAGAATACTGTTAAATTGGGCGTTCAGTTGACATTCTTCTTCTTTTTAAGTTTTTATTCTGTTTTAATGTTGTTGTCTATTGGTATTGTCTCTTAATTGTTGTAGCATAATGCAACATATATCTGTAAACAGTGCTATATAAATACATATGACTTACTTCATCTGAAGTACAACAACAAAAATATAAAAAGAATGATTTCCAACTATGATTGTCACACAAACTTGTAATGCACTACTACCAGGGAGGGTATTTTAAAATTAAATCTATATAATTTAAAATATGTCTATATGTTTAATGTGGGATATTTGCTCCATAAAAGCAAATGTGTCAAATATGGCATTTTAGATGTTGTTCTGTGCTTTGGCCTTCAAAAATATTTGTTGAAATTATATCACTTGCATTACTGTTTGCTGTTAGGGGATAATATCTGACTGAATCATTGCAGCTATCCGATCCCAGTCCTCCAGCTGACTGGGAAAACACCGATAATACTAACAAGAAATGTGAGATGTTCAAATTTCTTAATAGTGCACAAGTTTCTTAATTTCTTCATATACTTCACCACATCCCCGTAGCAGCTAGAAAAAAATGTAACTTGCTCACATTCATAATTTTTATAATCTTTTTTCCTAATTTTCCTGGTTACAAATGTTAATTCATACATTTTATCATTAAGTCATTTCTCGAACTCACTGTGGATGCTGTGAAGTTCACTCATGAACTTATTAAGACTGTGGCCTCCAGATTTTTGGTCTGGCGTGGTAGTTGCATTTGGCAGATGGGTAGGGGTAGCTGAGGTGCTTGGTTCAACTCGGCGGTTCCCAGTCATTATTAGAAGAGTGACGACAGAAACTGGTGAGATGAAGAAAAAAGATTGCTCAGCCCTAAAAACATCACAGCACGTGCAATAAAGAGAACATTATACTTCCATAAAATAGAAGACTGTTGCAAACTTTCCGTAGAACCATCCAAACAAACAATATCAACACGGATACACACAAAGGAGAGTTTCCATATTTGTTATTGATCAGATAGCAGTAATGTGCTTATAGATGCTGTACCATCAGTGAGAAATGACTTCTCTTGTTTCTGCTGGCCTGGCAAAAACACTTGAAAACAGGATGTGAAAGCTGCTCTCTCTCTCTCTCTTTCTGCCAAACTGCTGACATGGAGGTGTTTGGTGAGGTGGGAGGTTGAAGCGTCATGCGTGGACCTCTGCTGTTCCACAATGAGCTGCCAAAGGTGAAAATCATGTGCCAAGGTGATGTTTAACAAAGGCAAACAAACTAAGTGAGGGGAAGTTAATTTGCTAAAAGTTGGCTCCCAAATGCAAAACTGTTTTGGTACGTTATATTCTATTCTGCAGACATCGCGAGGATTGAGTATCTGAGGCTGAATCAGCAGATGGGATCACACACAGATACTGATCTCATTTTATGTCTGCATTTTCAGGATCATACACCAATTTTGTCTGAAAAGATACACCACTGTTACTAAGAGTTGCAGGAGCAAGCAGAATTAAAGGGATACCCAAAGGAATCAGGAGTTCTTCCAAACACTATATCTACAATATTACAGAGCTCTGACACTGGTGATATTATCGTGTATTCTAAACAGCATTGCTCAAAATACATGATAAAATGTTCAGCTGTGCATGTCCTATGACAGATTCTACAACATTTAGAAAAAAGAGCTAATTTGATGCAAGACACTTAATCAACGTGTATGACTCTATTCTAAAACAGAAGGTAATATGTAATATGTAACAATATGTATAAAAGGTGTTAAATTCACCTAAATGTTTAGACAATATACAGCTTAGCATATATATCAACCTCCAAAGGTTTGTTCCTTCAGAGGAAGTTCCCTTTACTAGTTATGATTTTACATATTATTAAATGACCAAGACTGTATCCAGTAGACAATATAACAAATATTTACCATTGTGTATTCATGAGTCTTCACATAGTTAATATTTAGGTTCACCACAGTCAGGACAGAAAAAGGCATTTCAACTGATGAAACAACATTTGAAATGAATAGGAAATAGAGACATACCTGTATTAAAGTGTCCCAGCAGCAATATTCAGACTTGCGGGCAATTCTTTTCCTTACACAAAAATGCAGGAGGAAGATAAAAGATGACAGAACACGAGACGCAGATGAGAACGGTGAGGTAAGGACCACCACGCTGGCCGTTGTCCTTTTGTTTTTGTGTCTTGTGCGTTCTTAGACATAAAGAAGAACAGTGCAGGTGTGCGAGAGCTGGATCAGGAGCGAGCGCGAGAGAAAGGGTGGGGTGGGTATAGGTGAAATGGCAGCTCAGTCATCTTGTGTTGCTTCCCTCTGTGTGTGTGTGTGTGTGTGTGTGTGTGTGTGTGTGTGTGTGTGTGTGTGTGTGTGTGTGTGTGTGTGTGTGTTCTGGTGAATTTGTTCTGTGCATTCAGGTCTCATGGGAGCACTGGTCCTGATTTCTGCCACCCCACCTCTTGTGACCTCTGTCCCATCCCCGCAGGTCACCCTCACCAGGCCACTGATGTATATTCATTAGTGTAGTGACATGGCATTTTAACAGCTCGTTAGCATACTGAGACTTCAGCAATAGAGGACATTTACATTCAGCGTGGACGGCTCGGTATGCGTGCGTGTTTGTGTGCATGCGCGCATCTGTACATCTGGCAGTAGCTGCAGAACTGTCTCATACTATCTATGTATGGATGATGTTGCCTGATTTAGAAACTTAGGATGTGGTTTCTGCAGCAACACTGAGATCAGGTTCCTGCCCCGCCTCATTCACCTTGAGGACCTAGAGATACTGTACAGAAGGAGGGATGAGACAGAGGGAAAAGAGAGGGTTTGGGGGATGGGCTGGGAAACATGGAGATCAATGTAAGTTGCTGTTTGTGACATGTAGAAAATAGTAGCACTGTATTTTATTTGGTCACTACAAACTGTTTTGAATGCTTTTAGTGAATTTATTATAGAGAAGGCCTGCAGGCCAGAGATGTGCTGCTAATCCTGCGTTCACCTGTGAGAAATCACAATTATTGGCCTTATTTTAGTAAATAAGCTTAATTTTAGGACAAGAAGCTGTATAAACAACTTTTACCAGAGACACGTTACAACAAAATACAAATATCCAACATTTATCATATATAGATTTCATGAGTATGACCTTTGACCTTTTTCAGGTTGAAAACAATATATGTTAAGAGTATAATCATTATTTACTCAGAAATCATTAATTAATCAGTAAATTTATGATCATAACTCGTTTATATATAAAAAACTCCCAATGAAACAGTATGTAACACTGAAGAGTGTAATGTTATCTCAAGTTGAACTATATGTCATGAAGGTTGGCATCATGTGACACTTCGTTACATTTCTCATTTAATGTTTCATGTACTCTATTTTGGAAGTCCTGCATTTATCTAACAACACATAGGGTGGTCTGAGCCCAAGTAATCAATATAGTAAGATTTGTGTTTGGATGCCATGTCTGGCACAGCATCAAAGGTTTTATAGTGCAAGACAGATGGTACCTGTGCCCTAAAGTCTTTCAGGTCAGAGTGACCTGCTAATGGTGGTGAACAAAGGAACTGGAGTTTACTGACTTTTCAGAGTTGACCACCTGCCAGAGATGAGCTCAAGAATGGAAATTTAGAGAGGATGGGTGTAGTAGACCACTACCTATAAAAGTAGGGGCCCCAGAAGGTCCTGTGGGCTTGCCTTTAGTTGAGCTTAACCTCAGCATGGGGCACTTTTTGTCCATTTTTCATCTATGCTGCAATTAGTATGCTCTTGACACGTCTGGTGAGGGACAGAAAAACTGACAAATGAACCAAAACTGGGGAAAAGCTAAGGAAAACAAATAACCTGTGGATGGAAACATGGGCAAGAAATGAGGAACCAGCAGACATGGGGAAAAAGGGCAGAAGAAACACAGAGACACACAAGGAACAACACGCAGACAGACCAGCAAGGAGCAGAAGGAAGCACACACTAAATATACACACAAGGTAAAGAGTAGACAACAGGAGGGAGACACAGCTGAACCTAATTAGACATGACGATGCAGGGAGGAAGCAAAACAGATACGTTGACAAAGGACAAGGACTATCAAAATAAAACAGGAAGCTTGACAGCAAATTTAAAAAAAAACCTAGAGGTAGGACTCAGGGAACACGTAGTGACAGAGGACACCAACTCTAGACGTATAAGCTAAAGCGCAGTGACTGGGGAGACATAGGCAACAGAGACTTAACACAGGCAAGGATAAATACCAAGGGAAGAAGAACTAAGATCACTAAGACTTAAGAAATAAGGATAACCAAGATCATTGTATACTGTCAAGCTGAGTTCTTCAATGTTCTCTAGGGAGATTTTATATTTTTTGGACAAAATTTTGTTCCAGATCTTTTGGCTAAGCCTCTGTACAATGAAGTCAGTTGTTCCTGAATGCCATGTCGTCGTCTCATTTAGTTCGGCCATACTGTGTATTACCAGATCTCTAGTGAATTTTTCCACAAGTTCCCAGTACTCGTCCCAGTTTTTAGATACACTGAGTACTCTTTTTGGTAATCCCAGCAGGTGTTTGGTGAAGATTGGAACAGTAATGTTATCAAGCTGCTCCCTCAGACTAAAAATCAAATATTTTTCCTTGCATTTGTGTGTTTTGCAAAGATCCTTTAAAATGGCCTGGTGGATATTTTTTAGGCTTTTTGGAGATAGATCCAAATGTTTGTCATTAATTTCTGGCCACATTTTCTCAAGCAGGCGATCACCAATGCAGTCAGGGGTGAGGCGCTCTGTGAAGAGCTTGTGTTTAGAGGCGACGTTGTCTATGGCCTTTGAAACCACCATCTGAATAACTTTGTTGACACACAACTTTTCCTCGCTCAGAGAATCAGATAGTGGACTGATCTGACAAGAAGTTAAAGACTCACTGTCACTGAGGAATCCCTGAAATCTGGGGGTTGCCTCATCTTTCAGTCCTCGACTTTCTGTTTCATCTCTGTAGCTTGAGTTGTCTACAGATATGCAGCCTACAACTGGTTGAGCCTCCAATCCCTGGTCTTCTACAGAGCTTTCACTTAGAGAATCAGACAGCGGACTGATACTAGAAAAAGTTAAAGACTCAGTGTCAGACTCAGGTACTTCTAGCTTCACATTGTTTTCCAGGAGACAAGATTCTGTTTTGTCAAAGTCTTTTGTATCAGCTGTGAAGTTTTTCTTCATACAGCTCTTTTTTGGCTTTGCTGTGTCTATTGTTTCGAGTTGTGTGTTTGAATTACCCACAGATATGCAGTCTAGGGCTGCTTCAGCCTCCAGTCCTGGAGTTTCTAAGTTTTCATTATCACGGTGGTCATCCACAGAGCTTTCATTCAGGATGCTGTCCTTTGCTCCTGTATCCTCTGTTTTCTCGGGGCAGTCTGTGCCCATGGACTGAAGACAGACCTCAGAGGTCTGCATGGAGGTTGGATCTCCATTCTCTGTGGGTTCCCTAGTTGATCTCACTAACATTTTACAAAACTTCAGCATGTCTGTTAACAAAGTGGAAAGCAGATGAAAGTCACAGTACTCTGGTTTGAACGGTACCAGAGATTGCCACTGTGGTACAATTGTACCAAAAAAGTGGTTGATGAGTAACTCCCAAGTTTCCACTGAGGTGTAAGTGAGTGGAGTATTCATGTTAAAGTCTGTACTATTTAAACTCTGAATTGGAGAAGTGGGATTCATTTGATGTGTAGTTGGAGTTGTGCTAGACATGTGTGCTGTTTG